TCTTCCTTCATGGTGCCCATCTACATTAAGATCCAAAATTCTGAGATTAAAGTCAGAATTATAAGAAAAAAGTTAGAATTCTGAGATTAAAGTCAAAATTCTGTGAAAAATGTCAGAATTCTGACTTTTTTCTCATATTAAATTGAAATAATATTTAAAAATCAGTTAACTTTTTTTTTTTTCAGTGGCCCTAATCCTCTTACATATTAGTTTAAAGGAAAGGAAGTTTGCATTTTTTTTCACTAAGAAGTCGCTCTTTACTTCCGCCCATCCTTGCTATGAAATTAGAATGTAAGAAAATAAAAAAGCTAATTACAGAAATGTACTATATGTCATAACCCACATTTTCCATTTCAAAAGATAGAAATTTGTCTTTAAAAGTGTCATACTTGTGGCTGTTTTTTGCTGGAGTTCATAATTTCTACCATTATTGATCTGCCGGCAGGGACTGCACTAAATTATTCTAAGGGGCTGTAAATGGACCCCTTGTCAAAAACAGTTTATTTACTGCAAAGAAGCATGTTTTATTATTTTTTTCTGTACGTTAACAGAAACCCTGCTTGAGCAGGGTTCTTGTGTTCAGATATAAAATTTGGTGAGTTTAGAGTAGTTTCTCCTGGTGTAATAGTGCACACATGCTTGATGCTCTGCTGCTTGTCTTTCACCAGGTGTCACTGTGCAACTGTTTTACACCATCTTGTAATTGACACTTCTGCTCATAAAGGTAACCTGTAAACCATCTGTCCAAACAGTATAAAAGAATGGAAGTGGGGGAAAAAGTTGACATGAAAGAGCTGATCTGGGTCGAGCCTTTGAAATGTGCTTTAGCTGTAATATCAAAGGTGCATACTTGAATATAAGTGGCCCTCCATTGCACATTAGTGTGTTGTGTATGTCGGGGAGGGGTACACATGACAAGTTGCATAAGCTGATAGAGATGCTACACCCTCCCTGAGTTTGAGCGGGTTGACTTGTTTGTTATGTCATCCTTAAAGCTTCAGCTTCACCCTAAAATGAATTTTAGGTCATAAAAATAAGATTTTTTTTTTTCTCTATGTGTATATATAGATATCCCCCCTCTACGGGTATACTTTTTTTAAATATAGTGTTGTTTTTGTTTTTTTTTTCTTTTTCTTTTTTTCTCTAAAGTTGGAATACTTTCTTCATCTTGCACATTCCGTTCCTAAAACTCCAGGCTGCAGCCAGAGCAAAGCGATAGAAGAGTTGCTTCCTGTCAGGGAATTTCAAAATAAAACCACCAGTTTTGATGGTAATGTTTAGCAAACTTCTCCAATCAAAACAGCTTGAATGTTTTTTTTAAAGCATCAATAAAAACTAATGCCATCCATCCAGCTACTGTGTTGTATTTATCAACTACAACTGCAGCAGGTCTGCTCAGTAGATATTTGGCTTCCCACACCTAGAGCTCTCTCTCTTTTACGGACTAAATGTCATGCAAATCTGCATCATTGGACTTAAAGACAACTTGCCCCCCATTGCTGTGAAAAAACAACTATAGGAACACACTTAAACACACATTACTACCTCCCAGTCCAATCTTTTTTCACTAATACCTAAATCTGACTATTGATTAGTCAAACATCTTAACTCTATTCAAATGTAATGGAAGCTGCTGTAAAGAAATACTTTTAAATGACAATAAGGCTTCTTCTTTATTTTACACCAAGTTACAGAGGTAAAAAAGTTCAGGATGAAAGACCAGACATCCAGTCCTGTGCTCCAGATCATAGATTCAATTATTACATAGTAAAATAAACAGTTTAACATAATATGAAAGTATTTCAGTATGTTACTAATGTTGCATGTTACTCATGTGTTAATGCATCAATGATAATTGAGTAATGCTATTGAAACTGGTAAATCAAAACTTTTTCTCTTGTTTGCAGAGAAGCTGCATTTTTTGATTCACAGATTGCTTTCACAACCTCCACATTGCAGGTATCTCTCACTGTAAGCCAGTTTATATATATGCAATTCAAAGTATTGTACAATAATCAAACAAGATCACCATATATAATACACAAAATTATTCATAAAAAATAAGGAGAAAATTTGACTTAAACATGAACTGATAAAATTTAGATAGCACGATTAAAGGCAATACAAAACAAATAATATGTTTACAGTTTCCCGGGAGTTTTTCTCCAAATTAGTGAAGCATAATAACTAAAAGCTGCTTCTCTACGTTTGGTTCTGGATCTGGGTATGCAGAGTAGATTTGAGCCAGAAGACCTGATAGACCGCCGATAAACTGACAAAAAGTATTTTGGTGCAAAGCTATTCAATGATTTATAGACTACCAGAAGTATTTTAGAGTCTATTTTCTGAGTTAAAGGGGAGCCAGTGTAAGGAATTTAGAACTGAGGTGATGTTTTCTACTTTGTCAGCTTTGATGAGGGCGCTAGCAGCAGCTTTCTGGATCGGCTGACGCTGCCTGATAGTATTCTTTTCTATTAAAGATAAATGCATGACAGTTTTCCCAAGGTCCTGCTGAGACATTATTTCTTTAATACTGAAGATGTTCTTTAGGTGGAGGAAGGCTGACCTTGTCGCTGTCTTTATGTGGCTCTGAAGGTTCAGGTCTAAGTCCAACACTAGACCCAAAGCCTGATTGTTGGTTTACAGCTTTATTAACTAAAACTATATGCTAACTTTTGATTACTCTTCCTTTGGTCCAATCCGAAAGCTCTAAAACAAATTGAAGCTGACAGGATTAGTTGCCATGTTGCCAATAGTAGAGCTAAAATGAATTAATTTCACTGTGTCACTTGATCATCACCTGTTGAACTGTTTTATAATTACAGCTCCACCACTACCTTCTTTGAGCCATGTTGGAATTTGAAGACAGGAACCCCAGAAGAGACCAAGCAAGAATTTCAACTTGAAATTATTTCCAGATGACAAACGTCCAACCTGGAACCCAGAAATACCTACATTTGAAGCTGTTTTCATTAAAACCCCAACATAAATCAGGCACTGACATCTATTTGCTAACATTTCATTTCAGTGCATTAGAAAGTTACTTCAATGTATATTTCTTTAACTTTTCTTTATGTGTAAATTTACTGCTGATTACATGGATGTAATTATTTGGGGGGGACAGAGGGGGACATGTCCCCTGTACTTTTTCAAATGTCCGTTTTGGTCCCTTACACGTTTTGTCCAAAAACAATGTGGCGCTACAGTACACAGACAGTCGTTGAGCACTAGGACCAAGAGGAAAACTGAAGCTCAAGATGAGCCCTGACTCCCAAAGGTCCTGATTAGCCCATTGTCTTTTTTTGTGTGATTTGCTGTCACCGCGGTCACTCTTGAGAAGCTAACTTTATTTAACTTTTTTTTTTTTTGCAACTGCTCTGGGAGTGCCACACTCACCAGCTTACACTAACGACAAAGCTTATAGTTAGAGTGGCTCAGGTTATCCTGAGCTATCTCTATAGTTATGCTGCTATAGGCTAAGACTTCTGGAGGACATAGGGACCCCTATTTCATCATTCTGCTTCATTCTATCTCTACTCTCCCACTCTGCAGAGTCTGTTCAATCTCTAACATTCTGCTCTCTCTGCTTTTTCTCATAGTAGCTTCACCTCATCTGATCCTGTTTGTCTATGACACCATCCTGGAGAGAAATATCAGCTATGCTGCTGCCAGCAACACTGTTGTTTATAGATGTTGGAGATCAGCCTGTTTTCCATCCATCCATCCATTTTCGAACAC